TTTTTAAAGTGATATTAAATCCTCCTTCAGGGCTAAATAAGTTTCTTCTATTTCTAGGCTAAATGCAATGTAAGTTATTCATAGTCATCATAATAGGATCAGTCATTTATTCTGTATTTTTGTGACCTTTAATAGAACCTGTGTGAGGGAAGTTAAAGTGTGGAAGAATTAGATACTGTAATCCTTTTAGGAATAAGATATGTATATTTTATTGCTTGTAAGTTATTTATTTCTGCCATACATTGATTAAAAAATTACTTTCTGTGTTGCATATATATGTATGTACAATGCTTGCTTGTTTTAAGATTTTTTTTCTGTTATTCACACATGAAAAGTGTGTTTATATGGTCATTAAGATTAACAAAGAATTTTTTTGTCTGTAACTAGATAAAAGGAGTTTCTTTATATGATACTCTTGTTATTCTTATAAACCTACATTTTTTTTCAGGATCCATGCTTGTATCCTTTGCCATCAGAAGATATGTAATATTCCCATGTCACTGTATTTGTAAAAGTTATCAAGCTGTTATTTGTAAAATTTGAGTAAAATATTTTACTGAACTCTTCATAGCTTTGATTTATTCATGTAAAATAATTTTTATATATTTTTTTATATGAATTGTAGTTGCCATTTCAAACTGTAGGAGATAAGTGTTAAAACATTCTTGATCATATAAGGGAAATGTTTGAGCTCATGTTTTAGTTTGAATGTGTTTTGATCTTTTACACACAAGTTTTTTGCTTTTTTTATAGGTGTAAGATAGAACCAAAAATAAGCATAAAGTTTATTTTGTATCAAACCAAGTTTCAACTACAGTGTAATAACAAAATGATGCAATATAAGGACCCCATGATTAGTAAATAGTAAAAGTCAGTCAGAGGTCTATTAAGTGAGAAGGTTTGATGCTTTGGAATATGTCATTTGAAAAAAATAAAGATTTTTTAATGCATTTTGAGAGTGACTGGTAAAAAGTAAAATGTTTTAATGTTATTTCAGTTACATGGTGATAAACACAGATCAACTGTACTTTGTAATTAAACAGTTGTAAATCTAACTTATATGGAAGTATCAGTTACTGTACAAGTTGAAAGTGAAATATTATCTCTTAGCAACAAGAAACTTTAATAAAGTGCAACTAGACTGTTATAGATTATCAGCCTTCTTTTTGATAATATTCTATACTGCCTTGTAGTGCTCTTTCTTGTGTATGCAAACATCAAGAATGTTTGAGTGATATGGATGGGACAAATACTGGAGATCAGTAATCGAATAAAAATACATAGGAATGTATTCATGAATACTTTGTCAGTTAATATGTAATAATGATAAAACAGCAGATGATAAGATTTCAATACTTTTATGAAATAAACGTTTTAGAAACTGAAACAAACTTTGAACAAATATAACATTTCAATACTTTTATTTTTCAGAATGCAGTAACAAAGTTTTTAGAATAAAAGTATACTTTTAAAGGATACTTATAGATGTTATAATTGTCCATAATTCTTTATGAACATCAGTTTCTCAAATATCTTGTCAGTGAGGTGGGAGCAATTAGGTGTGAAGGTTCTGCCTCCAATGCTAAACAAACACTCAACAGGGGAAGAGGATGCTGGAACACTCGGGTAGCATTTGGCTAGTAGAGATAGGGTAGTAAAGTGTTTTTCATGGATCTTCCAATAACCTAGAGGGCTGCTTTCTTCAGGAATGTAAGAACCATCAAGGTAGGTGTTGATCTTTATATCCTCTGAAGATGAGGTGGATGGTTTCTTGGAGGCAGCAAAAAACTAAAGAGCTTACTTCTTTTGTGAGGGATTTACATTTCTCTTTTGGTTCCATGGTTGTAGGATTATTTGTTGAGGAAACTTTCTCGACTTCTTGGTGCAGGAGTATTCGATTAGATTCATAAACCATAGGTCTAGCTAAAATTCTGATCAAGTTTAAATCTGGGATCCAATGCTGCAGCCAAGCAGACAACACTTTGTTGCTCATATTGAGTTGGCTAGATGTGAACAGATTTCTTCAGTGCTGAAACAAGTTTGAAATTATATCTGGACTGCATGCTGTCACTCTCAGTCGTCAGCCATAAATACATGGCACTACATAACTGGAGGTAACAATGTTCTGACCCTGGGCGAAATCTGTTGCCTCTTCAAAAGGTGTCAGTATTGTCACCAAACCTGCAAGCACAGTTCAATCATGAAAAGTAAATTTCGATGTACCAGTATCTAGATTATCCAACTTATCCTGGGGAATCTTCAATAGAGACCATTGTGTTGGTGTTACCAACTGAACTCTGGCCTCTCCCTCAAGTAGATCAGTTGCTTGCATTGATTTTTGATTTGATGGCTGATGTTTTGGAAATTACTTTCAGCAGTGGTCCAGCTTTTTTTATGCCATCCTTAACCACAAGCTGTAGTGTGTGGGAAAAGCAGGGGTCATGTTCAGGAAGAAATTTAGATAAGTTGTTTGTGGATTTAGATTCATCCAAAAGTTTCTTTTCTGAATCACTATCTGTAGATGAGCTATCACCATCTCTCACACTAGGTAGTGTTTGTGGTTCAAATCCAAGTAAGCAGAAAGCCTTGCTTATGTTAGATACATTATCAGATGTCACATATGACACCTTGTTGTTGATGCTAAAAAGATTGAGCTGCAGTGTTATAAGATGTGTGACGCCACTTGAAACGCCAGCATGACTATTTGCATTTTCCAGTCAAATATAAAACGACCAGTGACTCGAAGATATCTGTACATTTGTCTGCTACTCCAGATATCCATAGTGGCATTGAAGTTGGGTACAAATTGCAGTAGAGAGATGACTTTTTCTTGGAATTTATCAAACCTGCTCTCGATCAACATTGTGGACAGATGCTTGCGACTGGGAAGAATGTACTGAGAATCCATGGCAGCCGTTAGATCTTGAAAATCTTTTGACTCCACCACTGAGAAGAGTTGCAGTGTACTGACAGTAAAAGTGATGAATTTGTTACTGATGTGCTTCTGAAAAGGGTGTGTAGACTTGTACTTAATTGATTCTATACAGTACTCTGCAACATTTGGGCAGAAGTACCAGAGACAGATGTAGACTTCTGTAGCTCTGCCTCCTGATTATGCTAGAAATACAAAAGTGTATCTCAATTATATAATATAGAATATAGCTTATAATGAAAATAATAAAAACATATAATAATAAATAAAATGATAAATATAGTTCAAAACATGAGAATGAAGCTTGTATCAAAAGAGAAATTAACGTGCCTCAGTTGTAATATTGACACTCTAGAAATTTAATGAGTACAAAAGTTGAAATTTACTTTTACAATATTAAGTATTAACTAAATCATTCAGTTACTACAAATACTATGGCAAAGACAATAGGGATTAAATGTGATGGAAATGGTGTCAGCAGGTGACAGGATAGAAGTTAAGTGTTTGAATGGTTTTAACACCAGCATCATAGATAGGGCATGTATCAAACTTCAAAACAATGAAAAATATTGTTATCTCTGACCTTTAACAAAACACAACAAATTTGTTTCATTTCTTTTTGTGCCAGAAATTGCTAATAAAATTACTAGACTTTTTAATAATTTAAGCATTGATGTAAAAACTGTATTCAAACCCTCAAATAAAATTAACATCGTACTACCTAACTTGAAAGTATCCCTATGAAAAGAACAAAAACAGGGCATATACAGTAACCCATGTGGAAATAAATAAATAGGGCAAACATCAGATCCCTTAGAAATAAGATGCAAAGAACATCAAAGTTATATGCATAGAGGTGATTTCCAGTTATCTGCCTTAAGATATCAATATGGAACAGGTCACAAAATACTTTGGGATGAAATTCTTCTCCTACACCAACCTAAAACTAAGAAAGAAAGAGACTGAAAGAAACTATAGAAATCATCAAAACAAATGGCCTCTTGCTAAACCATGATAATGACCCCTAGCAACATCAGCTGAACTTGGCAAGGTTTATTCAAGTATTCACCATTCATACACTTCACCTCTATCTATATCCTGTCACCTGCTGACACCAGTTCTGTCACATTTAATTCCTATTGTCTTTGTAACAATATATAAATCTTGGATTGATTAGTACTGCTCTTACCTGAAGAAGACAGACCAATGTCATGTCTAAACATGTATGTTCCACTATCAGTAAAACGTTTCCTTATGCTTATAAATCGTTGTTTGCCTATTTATTAAGTATGCATGTATGTATGTCAAAAGCTGTTTTTAAACAGTGTAGTTTACTGATAGGAATATATATATATATATATATATATATATATATATATATATATTATATATATATATATATATATATATATATATATATATATATATATATATATATATATATATATATATATATATATATATATATATATATATATATATATATATATATATATATATATATATATATATATATATATATATATATATATATATATATATATATATATATATATATATATATATAT